GCGGATGTAGGGAATCAATCATTTCCTTGAGACCCCCCCCCCCCCCCCCAACTCCTTTCTTCTCTCTCTCTCTCCCTTATACCTGCACTACCTCTAGGGCATTGCAACACCACGTGTCTCGGGCCGCATTGACACCGATTTAATTTATATACCCGACTCCGCTACTTTGAGAAAGTGACTTCCTCCTTATTGCTTCTCATGCCTACAGTTAAACTCTGCAGTCAATGTCAATTACACATAGAGAATACAAGTTCCATATTTGACGGGTTTATCCAAAGGAATTCAATTCTATGGTGCTATGGAAAGAAAATAAACGACCTTCTTTATGGACAAAAAAAAAAAAAAAAGAATTGTAAAGGAAAACAAAAACTAAACTTCACTTCATGAACTACATAACCATACCATGCATTTTATTTCATCTCAGCTTGAACAAGGTTCATTTTATCTGAAAAGCTCACAAGCACTTAACCCCATCATGCGGAGCCAGGCTTAACCGTAGGATGAGTCGGGATGGTCTTAGGTAGAGGAGGGAGCAAGTTCTTCGCGCTCTCACGAGCATACTGGGCCATGAGAGCGTCCATGATGACGAGAGCGGACATAGTTTCGACGATAGGAACAGCACGGGGTACGACGCAGGGGTCGTGACGGCCCTTAGCCTCGAGGGTGCCCTCTTCGAGACCGTAGGAGGCAGTCGTTTGGGCCTGGCCGATGGTGGCCGGGGGCTTGAAGGCGATGCGGAAGTAAATGGAGGCACCGTTGGAGATGCCGCCCTGGATACCGCCGGAGTTGTTGGTCTTGGTGGTCAGACGCTGCTTGGTGGTCGTTTCGGTGCCGGTGCGGGTTTCAATGTCCGAGACGACGAAGGGATCGTTGTGGATGGAGCCGGGCACTTCGCAGCCGCCGAAGCCCGAGCCGATTTCGAAGCCCTTTGTTGCGGGGATGCTGAGCATGGCGTGCGCGAGCTTGGCTTCGAGCTTGTCGAAGCAGGGCTCGCCGAGTCCGACAGGCACGTTGCGGATCACGCACGTTACGGTGCCGCCGATGCTGTCTTGGTTGTCGCGGAATTGCTCGATGACTTTGGTCATGCGGGCTGCGGCGTCTTGGTTGGGGCAGCGGGTCGGCACGAAGGAGTCGACGGTTTCGCGGCTGATGCTCTCAACGAGGTTCAGGAATTCGGGGTTGGTCGCGGGGGAGGGGTGCTCAGGGGTGGGGGGGAAGAGGTGCTCGTTGCCGACGGAGGAGACAAAGGCGACGATCTCAACGCCGTGGGAGAGACGCAGGTACTTCTCAGCAATGGCTCCAGCGGCGACACGGCCTGATCTTGTCAGTATTGCTTTCGTCCTGCCTTCCCTAGGCCTACGGCCTCGCTCGGTGCATGCGCGGTGACTCACCGATCGTCTCACGAGCACTACTGCGGCCACCACCACTGCTGGCCTTGACGCCATATTTCTCGAGGTAGGTGAAATCGGCATGGCTGGGGCGAGGGTACAAGTCCATTGTGCTGCCACCGTAGTCCTTGGGTCTCTGGTCCTCGTTGCGGACCATCATGCCAATCGGGGTACCGAGGGTGACACCGAATTCCGTTCCCGACTGGATTTCCACGCGGTCCTTCTCATTTCTAGGGGTCGTCAAAGCGCTCTGTCCGGGACGTCTCCGAGTCATCTGAGGCTGCACATCAGCCTCAGTAAGCTCCATTCCTGGAGGGCAGCCATCGACGATGCAGCCGACGGAGCGGCAGTGGGATTCACCGTAACTGGAGGAGGCGCAACATGTGAGCTTTATTTGTCCATACTTGCAGGTTTTGGTTGTGGACTCACGTGGTGACCTTGAAGTATTCTCCCCAAGTCGACATGATGAACAATCGATCAATTGGTTGTTCTTATTGAAATTAAGAAGCGTTGGCGGGGTAGTCGGAGCTGGATATGAGGGGCGTTACTTTCACAGCACCGGACAGGTATGCGTAGAGGTGATCGCAGAAAGGATTTAGAGGGACAACTGAATTGAAAGTCGATCTAATGATACCCCGCGAGGATCTTCAACGAACAAGAGAACATAGAAAAACCCACTCGATGATTGCATGATGGAAAATAAGGTGAGAAATATGGCATCTTTTCGCTTTCCCGATCTGGTTTAGCGTCCGGAGATCGGAGGCCCAGCGGCCTGAGTCACCAATCATTGGGCGGTGAGCGGACACTGCGTACGGACGATACGTATCAGTACCTTACTTTAATTTCCATACTGCATACTTACTATCTTTAGTCCCTGATGCTCTTCCGTCTCAATGCGCCCACTCCGACGAGGCTTATGCCTACTATCCTCCCTCCGAACACCAACATGGTCGGCTGCAGCCCTTCGCCCTCTCTTCGTACGATATAATTCCTCTTTCTCCTCCGATCAGTTCGCCCAGCTCGCGAACCGCGAATCCTCCCAGCACCAGATCTATCAGTCCCTCTCAACGGACCCATATGTCAACTTATCAATTGAACATTTCCTGCTAGAAAACGCCCCACCAGACTCGAGCATCCTCTTCCTATACATTAACCGGCCATGCGTCGTGATCGGACGAAATCAAAACCCGTGGCATGAGACCAACCTCCTCGCCCTACAGAATGACCGCGAACCAAACACCCAAGGGAAGAGTGACAACGGCGCACTCCTTGTGCGCCGAAGATCGGGTGGAGGCGCCGTCTACCACGACGAAGGCAACCTGAACTACAGCGTGATCTCACCCCGGACAACATTCACTCGAGACAAGCATGCAGAGATGATAGTGCGGGCATTGCATCGCGTCGGAGCTACGAACACCAGTGTCAACGATCGCCATGACATCGTCATGTCGACCGGACAGCCACAGCCTCGGAAAATCTCTGGCTCGGCCTTTAAATTGACCAGACACCGCGCACTGCACCATGGCACATGTCTGCTGGACACTCCGAATATCAACCGGCTAGGCTCCTTCCTGCGATCGCCGGCTCGGGACTATATCAAAGCCAAGGGTGTGGAGAGTGTTCGGTCTCCCGTGGCGAATGTCTCGTCTGTCTTTGTGGATGCTATGATGCCTTTTTCTATCGAGCGCGTCATGGCTAGTATTGTCGAGGAGTTCGCCCAGATGTATAAAGTGGATGCCGATGCTGTGCGTCGTGCGCAACGGGCTCATGCCCTTGAACCGGAGTTGTATGCGGGTGATACTTGGGTTGCGGGCGCGGTAGGGGAACACCAGGGCTACGGAGAGCCTGAGATTAAGAAGGGCATTGATGAATTGACGGTACGAGCTAACCAACCAAGGTTTCATACTGCCCCAGACTTATTGGCGCTAACCAAAATCGTCTAAAATAGTCCTTGGAGTGGAAATACACCCAAACACCACAGTTCACCTTCTCCACGTACCCCATTGAAGACGATCCACGTGAAAGACCTCCTCTACTATCCACGTTGCCGCATGCGGTAAGTGATTCCCTCTGGTAAAAACTCAAGATCGTGCTCGCTAATCAGTTCAGACACGTGTGTTCCTCCGCCTGAAACACGGTGCTATCATCGAGAGTCATATCTCGACCTCTGGAGATGTGTCTGTAGCTTCCGAGCAGGCTGCACGCGTGCACGAGGCTTTAAACGGCCGTAAGCTCCACGAGATCACTCCGGCTCAGTGGCATAAGATTTTGCTTGATCGACTTGGTGCTGACGTAGAGGACAAGACTTTGCTAGAACTTGCTAAGTTTATCGGGAGTAAGCTTGGTTGGGACACTAGCTTGTGATGCTCTTATGATTGTTATATAGATGTATCATAAAAGACTGTATATTATAGCTGTGCCTACGGGCCTATGTGTACAACATACAAGATTTGTTTGTAGATGGCTACAAATAAAAGAAAACAAGATGCAGCGGACAAGTTCAAAAATTACGAATCAACTGAGGGTCTATCTATTCCAACATATTGATCTATGCAGATACCGCTGACATCACTGACCGCCGCTCTCGATAAGCCGCGTCAACCACTCCGGGATGACAGGCAGTCGTTCCCATTTCTGCCTCCATGCATCCCCATCCCCATGGGCAGGCAAAGCAAAAACAGCAGTCACAAACCAACGCTCAGCTCCTGAGGGCAGATCAGCCCCCAGAGAAGGCAGCAGAGTGCGACCATACATGAGGTTCGAGTTAGGATCAGCGAGGACCACCCTCCCAGCCCGGTCAACACCGGATTGTAACTCTACAATACCCACAGCCCCAACCGAGGAAACCGTGAGCGCCTTCTGAGATTCCTGCAAGGTCCCTTCGGAGGGCCGTTCCGCTAACGGACCTAGAATCCGGCCATTATCGCTCCGACACCCGTAGATGGCGAAAGCGCCCTCGGACGTCATGAGGTCTCGTCCAGTGCGGACGCGATGCGCGCGGATATGCCAGTTCTCGCTTTCTTCGAGCGGTGGAATCAGGTATGTTTCTACTTCCACGTCTGACCAGGGTTTCCAGGTGGAGGCTAGCACGGGGATATCATCGTGGGATTCGATGCGGGCATTTATGGCCAGTCGCCGCGCTTGCCAGATGTCTCCTCCGTCGTCGGAGAGTGCTAGCATACTGTCCGGGGCATGTTGTTCGAGTTGGTACGAGCCTGTCGGAACGGAGTACCCGAAAGATGCGCTGTAGGCGAATTTGCCGTATTTTGCCTGAGTTGCCTTCAGGGGGTAGTGGCAGGCTTGCCCGGAAGAGAGCAGGAATGAATGTCCGCCACGGTGGACTACGATGTGCTTGGGATACTGGAGCGCTGCAACGGGTGAGAGGGAGGCGATTGGGTATGGTTCCTCCTTGGCTGCCCAGAATGGGTGTGTTTCTCCCAGCACCAGAGGGACAAATGAAAGGCAACACCAGTAGGGTGAGCCGGGAGAGTTATAGTTCTCTGTCAGGTACATGTTCGCGTATGAATACCCGAGATTCAGCGTTCCATCGCTGTTGAACATATCCTCTTGGGTTGCCCACCAGCGGAAATGTCTCAAGAGAAGGCCCTTGACAACACCCCAGGTGAGTGGTGCCGGGGGCGCGACGTCTGCAAAAGCAAGTGCTCCCCAGAACCCAGCCATGGCGAATCGATACGTCATGGACCTTCCGAAAGGGATAGCGGCTCCTGTCAGTAAAAGGCATACGGTCAGTACTGATTGTGGGCTAGTTCAGTTCCGCGAGAAAACCAACCATCTGCATCAAAATAGTACACAAAGTCAAGAGCAAATTGTCTCGCCCGTTCTCGGTACTGTTCAGCCCGTTGCGGGTCAAAATCGGCTGCCAGTCTTGAATAAAGTAACTGCAAAAATTGGATAGCAAATGAGCCGGAGTAGTAATCCATCTGATGGTGACTCTTCGGACCGTCGTTGCTCCATCCTCCACCAACATGGAAGGTGTCCAAGTGGTCCATATCAGCTTCGATACGGGGGAGTGAATAAGGGGCTCCGTTTCTCCTTAGACCTAAGTTGGCAAAGACCCGGAACCACAACCTGAATGCGTTCTGTTGTGAGTCTTCCGAGACTACCATCTATGTAATCATGCGTTGTGCAGGGCCATACCAGTTCGTATTGGGCATCTCACGCTCATTAATACTAGCCAACCAACTTGCAACATTGTGCTTTTGCTGAATCGTCAAGGGATCCCAGAATACATGCGGAGCGACCGCCAACGCAAACCCGAGGGGGCACATTTCCACCATGCGCTGGTCGAGATCCTCTATATCTCCCCAATACTCTGGACTTCGGGGGTCTGTCCCGTTGATGAGTCCCTGGTACCAACGCACTGCCTCTGGGTATTGATAACCGCCCCCCAGCAGAGCAGCTAAACCCCACAGGGGTCGCGCGAAGCCCTCAATCTGGGCACCACCTTCGTCGAAACGGGTCGTCGATGATCCAATCTTCACTCGACTGCATCCCGGTGTGAAGTGCGGGACGAGCGGATCAAGGAGTGCCCGGCATGCATCTTGAAAATCGCGGCGGGTGCGAAAAGGTGATCGGCTAAAGGCCTGAATCGGGGTCTTTCCGTTTGCTTGTACTGACATTATGTGTGGTATGCTGCTGAATGGTGCTTGGTTCGATATGCGCACAGAATCATGACATCGGCCGGTCTTGTCTAGTTTCGACTTGGCGGTATATATTCAGTCTGCTAAAACCAACGACGGGTAAGGCCGGAGTTCTTTCCGATGTCTTCTCCATCGAAGTGATCATCATTGTATGAGGATCGTTGAATATCAATGGAAATCCGCTCTGGCCATTGGTGGATTAAAGTGACCGAAAGCGATTTAGCCGGAAGTTAAAGGATAATAAGACTCGAAACTTATCCGATTTAGTGTCTAGACAGCGGAACCCTAATTGGCCGGATGATGGGAATATATTGCATTGCATTTCATAGTGGTACAGTCGGATGAGTGGAGAGATAACATTGGTTACGCCTTATTGGACCTGCCAGAACCTGACTCTACTCTTCCTGTTCACCATTGGGGGTCGCAGCTTCCAAAGGCCTCGACAGTCCCACCCGATCAACGGTACGCGTGTAAGCAACTCCTCCATTTACGCGATCCTCATGAACAACAAGATCCTTGCGGTTAGTGTCGACAAGCAGACGAATGAGGTCAGGACGCATGTAATGTCCTCCCTGAAACAGTGTTAGTACAGCAGAAGTATTGGAGATCAGCGGGGGTCTTACGAAGTCAGCCAGGGACTTGGAGAGATGGCACTCATCCAGGTCAATCTAGTGTTCTGGTTAGCATCTTTTACCCTTGACCGAAGAGAGAAAATTGAAAACTCACGTCAACAATCAGCAGACCCTGGAAGTCCTTGTCAGGGTGAGGAACAAGATTCTGTCCATCAGGGCCAAAGATACGGCCATGGCCATTGTAGATGTGGGGATCCTCGAGCTCCTTTCCGGGGGGCGTGTTCAGCTTGATACCCTCGGCGGTGATGCTTTGCCAAGGTGCCAGGGTGAAGGTGCCCGTCTCAATAGCATAGGCCGGAGTAACGAGCTGCGCAGACTTCCATTAGACCTCAGACCGAGCGAGCGAGATAGGTAGGGAGACCCGAATCGATCAGGTAGAGTATGACTTACGTCGGCATTGGCTTCAGCCACGTTGGTGAAAGGATCGGGGTACTTCAGTGTCTCCTTTCCGGGATACAGTGGCCAAGCAGCAACGTGAACCTGCTCACCAAGAGAGGCAGCATACGCCTTCATAAAAGGGTTCATATTTTCCCAGCAGTTCAAGTGTCCCACACGGCCGATCTCGGTCTGGATAACAGACTCAGTGGTATCACCAGTACCATCTCCGAAGACCAGACGCTCGACGTGGGTAGCGCGGATCTTGCGACGGTGGTTCAGAATATCACCGGTAGGAGAGATGAGGACTTGGGTGGTGTAAAGACTGGCCAGATCCAGTTCCGAATAGCCCAGAGAGACAAAGATCTTGTTGGCACGGGCTACCTCACGAATCCGACGCATCTCCTCAGAGTCTGAGGGCAGACTGTTCTCGCGATACTTCTTGAGCAGTGGCAGACTCTCCTGGTAATTTACCTTCCAGGCCCAGTATGGGTAGCCCGGGATCCCTGTGGCAGTTGTCAGACCATGATAAAGTTACAGATATCCATAAAAAAGGGGAAAGATACGTACAAAGCTCGGGGAAAGCAATGAACTTGCAGCCAGCCTTTCCAGCTTCGTTGATCCAGTGAATAGTTCGCTTGACAGATTCTTCGAGGTCGAACCATCCTGGCTCAGCATTGACTGCTGCGGCCTTGTACTTCTTCAAAACTGGTGCCATTTTGTGATAAGAAGTATCGATTTCACGATGCTGAAGAAGTGATGTAAGTTATAGTGAGCTTTGCTGTTGCTGCTGTGGTTGATGATAGACGATGGATAAAGAACTTGAAGACTGTCGGAACGCTTCCTATTTATACCTGCGATTGCATGATGATATTCAATCCACGACCTTCACTTCACATCATGCAATTCGGTACATCCGGCTGTCGGGTTTTGCTTTTCACGATCTAGCATCTCTGTGGTATCCTACTGCGCACTTCCCAACCCTTCCGAAGATTTGACCACGAAGGGGCCCCATAACGATGTTCTTTCGGGATCTGCTCGTGCAAGAGGAGAGGTGCCACAAGACGCTCAGACCTAGACACTTTGTCAGTCACATCTCCATCCATTTGTAAGAGCAACCTACCTAACACAGTGGAAACCCTGCGCTCTGACTAATGTTTCACGATGCCCCTCAAGTTCAAATCCCGCCACAACGCAGAGTACGACATGGCCTGACTCGCGCCTTTTGTACAGCGTATCAGAAATTATAACCTTTCTTGGATAGTACTAACATACCCAACTAATCTTATCTTGACAAAATCTTGGGCTGGACACCCGTCGGGACTGCGCGTCGATCACCGTTGTTCCGAAGCAGAGCCCGTGGGGAACCAAAACCCTAACTCGGCCGACACAGCTTGTCGGGATTCTCTAGACTATCTGTCCCGGTCCCAATCTACAACATATGTCCTGCTAATTTCCCCATGTATACAGCAGCTAGTTGGAATAACCTAGACATGGGAGCTTCGGCACGGCTAGCATGTATGAAAAAATGTTTCAGGTTTGTTGACAGCACTTTGTGGACAAACCTTTGATGGAAAGAAGGTTACATGGTATTGGGTTGCGGCGGCTATTCTAGGAGCTCATTCTGGCTGTAACGCTTATTTGTCTCGACTACTCAAACGTGCACAGGACAATCACAGCGTTCAAGACACGCAGACAATATGACTTCTTCCATAAAAAATATATTGAGTGTCAATAAGCATGAGAAGCTTATACGCGATCAAGAATACAACAACATCACAGTGCAACCCTATCAATATTGTTGGCAGATAAAGAGGGATGTATGAGCCATGCCGTCGTTTTTGCAAATATGAAATATATATATATAGAGAGAGAGAGAGAGAGAGAGATGTGCATTATACCCGAATACAGCTCCCAGCTCTGGGGCTCTTCTCGGGTCGCCGACGGCCAGTTGGCCAGCCGGTGAGACTAACTTAAGTATGTACAGGGTTATTCTAGCTAGATAGTGGTGACACGCTGCCTTCGTGCGGCCTTGAAGTTTTAGTTCCCTTCCCCTGATTCCTTTCCCTGTTCTGTCTCTCCAGCTCACCCAAGTAGCTCACATCGACAGTTGTGTCTGAAAGTACGCGTACACGCCTAGACGGCGTAGATTAGGAATACCAAAGGGGTCTGAAAATAGCGGCGATTATAGCCAGCTGCTTCCCCTATTCCGTCGCCTCACCCTACCACTGGTGAGGTTAATCCGCTGCCACCGGCATCAGAGTCGCTGCTGGCCCCTTGTCGCGTAGTCGTAGAGGCGCTAGATAGGCCAGGCGTTTTGTTTGTAGTAGAAACCGGGCGGTGCGCAGCGTATGCTTTGAATCTCCTAGTGCCTCATCAAGATTCCTTGGACAGGATTGGGAATCACCCCATATCTTTATGAAAAATATACCAGCGGCCAATGATATTAGAATTGCTTCAACTTCTGGACCTTTCAGTGGGATGTTGAAGTGATCATGTAGAGATCATGGTCATTCATCATTGGGATTTATCCTTTCATGATTAATTAGTTTTATATATATATATATATATATATATGTTTTAACACCGTCTAGTATGCATCCGCAATAGGTTCATTCACATTGTACTTTCGTACATATCTATACAATGGGCTTTATGATAGGATATCTATATGAACTTTCTCTCTTTCTTTCGTTCTTTCTTTATGTTTAATTATTATTATGCCCGTGTCTAGCTCCAAGCCTTCCTCTATACGAAGCGACTATTCGGTACATCAGGCTATTACGAGTTGACGATTTGAGTGATAAGCCCTAACTGGCCAAACCCTACCTATGTACATCGGATATGCTAAGGAAACAAACAACATAACCTTCATTGCAATGGTTACCATAAATCCACTGTTAAACTATTTAATTCGAACTGTCACTTGGCAGATTTTTGACCAAGTTCTGTAGCTAAACGATCAACAACGACAGCCGTCCCCGCAAATTTAAATTATTTTGCTTTTCCCCGCAAACCTTCGTTCAGCTCCGTCGTCTTGGCTACCCAACATCCTACACCACTTCACCAAAGCCCCTATTCGTCCGACCACCACATGAACGCGTGAGTCTATATGACCTTCTCTGATTCGTGGCACTAAGTAACCTTATCGCTGCCCATATTCGTGTTGCATCCCACGTTTTCTTGGGGATACCCAACGATAGCGAGCTCAGGAATGCCGAGAGTTATTTAATATCACCCGTGCTTTACGTTCCAGCGCCCAGACGGAGACAAGGTGTCACTTCCCCTCCTTATCTCCATGGCTACGTCCTTCTAACTGGCTCAAGGATCAGCGCTCATGGAGGATGACCGTAACGGCCAGTCCTTCGACGCTCTCTCGGGATTCGTGGAATCTTTTGACCATCTTGGCCGTCTTGTTTTTCCGTGAGAGCTGCCATCACTCTAGATTTGCGTAACAGGGATATGTGCTTCGTGTGATAGTAGCACCAGACGAGCTTCAGACCCTTCCTCCATATATTAGTTTGCTTTATTCCGGCGGTGATATCTTTGAAAATTTCTCCATTCATTGTCTTATCTGAGCCAGGATCGCGATCATCGTTGTTTCAGGCTTTGAGACGACGTGTCAAGCCACGTTTCGGTGACCGATCTGCTACTTCAACAGCAAAGCTCCCCGAGACTGACTTGATTCAACTTGACAAAATGTCAGTTATACTACGAAGACTCGTCCACAATGACGCGATGCGAGAGGACCCCAGGGAGATTTATGGATGGAGAGTGTACATGCTCGCCTGTTCGGTTAGTCTTCTTCAACCTTCCCTTACAACAGAGACTGAAACATCTACAGGCTTGCTTCGGCGGCATGCTTTTCGGAATGGAGACCGGTATCATAGGAGGTGTTCTTACGATGGATCCGTTCCAAGTGTAAGTCGCTTTTATACCTCTAAATATCTATTTACACACCATTCGTTAACGTCATACGTATAGAAAATATGGGCTAAAGAACCTTGGCGATGTAGGAGAGGCCAATCTCTCCGCTAATATTGTATCCACGCTACAGGCAGGGTGCTTCTTTGGCGCCCTCATCGCCTCCCCAGTGGCAGACAAATGGGGCCGAAAGGCAGGGTTAATATCCGCATCGCTAATTGCTATCGTTGGCGTTATCATGCAAGTTGCAGCAAGTGGACACCTGGAAGCCATGTACATCGGACGGTGAGCATCGCTTCCACATACTTTTCGGACCCTTAGGGCTAACAGAGCCCAACTCAGTTTAGTCAACGGTTTCGGTGTCGGCTTCGCCTCAATGATCAACCCTCTCTATGTCTCTGAAAACTCCCCAAGAGCCATCCGTGGTGGTCTAACAGGCCTCTACCAACTTTTCATCACAATGGGAATTATGCTCGCCTTCTGGATCAACTACGGCTCTACCCTCCACATCAAGGGCACAGCACAATACATGGTTCCACTTGCCATGCAGGCCCTCCCCGCCCTTCTTATGCTTGTAGGTATGCTCCTATGCAACGAATCCCCCCGTTGGCTCGCAAAACAAGACCGCTGGGAAGACGCTCGGAGGACGCTCTCCCGCGTACGCAATCTCCCCTCAACACATCCGTACGTTGAGAACGAGTTCCAAGATATCGTCAGCCAACTCGAGCACGAGCGCCAGCTCATCGGTGGTTCCGGCTTCTGGGACCTTATGAAAGAGATGTGGCTCATCCCCGGCAACCGCAAACGAGCCATGATTAGTATATTCCTCATGGTCTGCCAGCAAATGACCGGTACGAACGCCATTAACTACTACGCACCACAGATCTTTGAAAATCTGGGCATCACCGGCACTACGACAGGTCTGTTCGCCACGGGAGTGTACGGAATCGTAAAGATGGTGGCATGTGCCGTCTTCCTAGTCTTCGTCGCCGATTCTTTGGGCCGTCGACGCTCTCTCCTCTGGACCTCTGTTGCCCAGGGTCTCGCCATGCTCTACATCGGGTTATATGTCCGCATTGCGCCCCCGGTCGAAGGCCAGCCCGTGATCCCCGCTGGCTATGTCGCTCTCGTCTGTATCTTCCTCTTTGCCGCGTGCTTCCAGTTCGGCTGGGGCCCCGTCTGCTGGATCTATGTCTCTGAGATTCCGACTGCCCGACTGAGAAGTCTGAACGTCTCCTTCGCTGCCGCGACTCAGTGGCTCTTCAACTTTGTCGTTTCTCGAGCGGTTCCCAACATGCTGGCAACCGTTGGTGCTAACGGCTACGGGTTAGTTTCCTTTTCCTTTGTGTATCACATCTTCTCGGCATCTCATCTATATAAACGAAAATACTTTCTGGACCCGTTAATAAGATTCAAATAGAACATACATCATTTTCGCCTGTTTCTGTTTCTCAATGGGCGTGTGGGTTTGGTTCTTTATCCCTGATACTAAAGGTATTCATTGCAACACCCCCTACTCATCCTGCATACCGTTGTTATTTATGGGGGCTAACTTTTTTTTAATAGGTCTCTCACTGGAGAAAATGGATGAGCTCTTCGGTGCTACTAGCAGTCCTACTCATTTGAAGACAGAAGATGTAGAGAGGAGTGCGTCCCAAGCGGAGGGTGATCATAAAGATGAAGTTGCTACAGAAACTCGAGTGGAAAGGGTGTAATATTGTCAACCTTCTTTCTCTTTCCCGCCCTTGCGGATTGCTTGGTGGTCAGTTTCGATATGGTCATAGTTGTATAGGTCAATTGGATGATACTAGACTTAGTAATGTTCTGTCTAGTATATGTTCAGGCCATTTAGACTATTTTAGTCCGCCCGTTCCCCCCCCCCTTAACAACAGTTGATGTATAATCCTCAAGAAAAGAATCTATTCATCTAGTAGTAGTAATGGTCTAGTAGTCTAACCGTCTAATCGTCTCTTCAGGTA